AGGTCATTCTCAGCTCGTCATCTAGCCTAGCGATTTAACATAGGCAATGGACGTCGTCACCAGGGGCGGTGCCTCTAATCTCTTCTAGTTATGGGTGCGATTGGCCTAATCTGGCTCTGCATATTATGTGCTTTATCGTCTCGTCTTCTTGACTACAAGCCCTACACAAGAGTGTGGCACTGAGACGCAACCTGAACAAATGTTTGTTTAACTGACAGTGTGACAGTGGCCAGTCAGCGAATTAGCTTATTGGGCACTTTTTGATAAAAGCACCGAATCTGGCATAGAGGTTGCCTCATGTTATATGAACAAATTTGGATGTGGAGCCAATAACTTACTGCCTCCGGACGGCCATTTTCCAACATGGCCGCCAGTGAACATCCCGAAAGTCAACAGAGGTTAGATGAAGTTCGCTGCTGAAGGTTTTAGTGAATGCTTTTTGATTGTTTGGGATGAAAACATGCCAGATAGTTTGTAAGTTATGTATACAGGGTGTTTCAAAAATGTTACTTTGGAATTTTTGGTCTAAATACTTCGAATTTTGTTGACAATTTATTTTACAGCTAATCGCAGCGAGTCAACTGCTTCACATTCGCTTCTCTTGCCACTAGTGGTGTCGCGAGACGAGACGAAACTTAAGGTTAGTCTCATCTCGTCTCGTCTCGACATCTCCAGACGAGACTTAGTCTTAGTCTCAACTACCAAAGTCTCGTCTCGTCTCGAGTGGTCTCGTCTAGTCATACAGGTTATAAATTATTATCAAGAATGCTCGAGGAGGATTTTTTAAATTATTTATCTAAGGTTTCTCAAAAGATCCCCTACTACGCGGAGAGCCTTTACGCTATTTTCCGGACACCCTGTATTTATATTTTTTACTTCTATATTATAACGGAAGTTCAAACTGCGACAGTGAGAAAGCAGTTATTTGAAGAGTGAAAAATCACAGTAAAGAGTAACCGTGATATTTGAAAAAATATGAACGTCAAATAAGAAAAAATATGTCGGAATACAGTTTTTGAAAAAATAATCACCCTGCATTTTTTTCGTGAATTAATGGGATGTTTTTTACATAGGTACTTTAACTTTAGATCCAACGTTCAACTTCCAGTTAAGCGGAAAGAGCTTATGCTTTAAGCGTTTTTTTTTTTCAAATTGATCTCACTAACTGGCTGAACCGAAAGTGGAATTTGAAAATTAAAGGGGGTGTGACCCTAAAAAACGACTTCAGGTACTTGAATCAAGAAAAGAAATCTAAGATCTCTCGAGAAAACCGCATAGTCCTATATCCAAAATAGTTTCCGAGAAAATGCTTTGTAAAGATAAATCCGTTTCAAAACACAATTTAATAGGGAAAAATCGAAAATCGCCCTGTATTAATGATATCATTGAAGATATTGCGATACGGTTTTTGACAATTGACGTTTCTCGAAAATCAATCCCAAGACATCTAAGTCAATTTTCCTCTATCTGGTCTGGAAGTATGTTTTTCCTGTCAAAACACTTCAAATTACAGCACCCTGTACAGGGAGTTTCCTTATATTTTGACCCCTACCTACAGCTTTGGCTATACGAGGTGGAAAAAAAACTTTAACACGTTAACTGCCAAGCTGATTTTTAAAAAAATTTCCTCCCAGGCCATTTGAATTTTTGGATAGAAAATGGTATTTGAAGAATACCAGTACTTGAAATAGAGTGATATCATTCTCCATAGGGCCGTTATCTTGATTTTAGAGCGTAGGTCACCGGTGACCTACGCGGCGTGGCAGGCAACAAAATCCTTTTGCAAATATATGATATGAACCTAAATGGTATGCAACACACAATACAGAAAAAACATGATATTCCTGCACATGAAGAGCCGTCGTAGGTCACCACACCGACTTGAAATCCCATTTAACGTTGGGTTTTGACAAAATTATTGACAAAATTTGTTGTAGGTCACCGGTGACCTACGCGGCGCCCCAGGCACGACTACCCGTAGGTCACCGGTGACCTACACGGCGGTTAACGTGTTAAATATGAAAGTTGTAGGGTTTTATGTCTATTATCTTTTGCGAATGTCAAAACGGGCAAATGACAAATAATGTCAACTGTCACAATCACAAACACTTGTATTTTTCAAATAGAACACCCTGTATATTTTTGGCTAGTATAATAGTTTTTTTCTTCTGATTCCAAATATACCATATATGTTGATATTTTGCTCAGCTGTTTTTGGGCTATTTTATTTTAAAATTGCATTGAGCAAGCCTCATCATTGATATAAGAAACCAGGACAGATTAAATTAAGGGTAATGTAAATGCATTTGTAAACTTGAAATAGCGTAAAAATAGCTGAACCAAAATATCAACATTATGGTATATTTGGGAGCAGAAAAAAAAAATTCATTCTAGCCAAAAATATACAGGGTGTTTCATTTGAAAAATGCAAGTGTTTGTCATTGTGACAGTTAGCACCTGTCATTTGCCCATTTTGGCAAAAGATAATAGATATACAACAAGTAGAAGAGCAAAGTGGTTTCGTGCAGGAAGATATTGTAGTGATAATGTATTTTGTCTCAAACAAGGAATGCCAGAAATATATAGAGAATCATGTTACCTTTATGGACCTACAAAAAGCATATAATACCGTTCCAGTAGAAAAATGAAGGACAGTGACTCCCTTTGTAACTTAACGTTTCAATGCGATCGAGTCGATCCGATGGAACTGCATCTACTGGAAAACGTTATAAACGCTGGCGAATCCGTCCGAAAATGGATCGCGTGTATTTATAACGCAAGTTTCAAGTGGATGCAGTTGCATCGGTTCGCGTCGATCGCAGGGAAACGTCACGTTATAAACATAGTCGGTGTTAGAGTGAACTAACATCAATCATGCGTACGTAAAAGCGACAACAATTCTTTCTACTAGGTATTCTTTTTTCTAGTTATTTACAATAAGTTATCTCTCTCATCAAATGTGATAACTAAGTATAGTAAAAAAGAATAGTAGAAACAAAGAAGGTTATTGGATGTCTTACCAGTATTTTATGGAGCAGAGAGATAAAGAAAAAAAGTAAAGTTTAAAATTATATAAAACAATGGTGAAAGGAACATAACGCTGCTGTATGGAATAGAGATTTGTCGCGTAACAGTACAAAAATGGGAAATGTCGAAACGGATGCAATAAGAAAATTAATGAGAATATCTAGAAGAGACCACATAAGAAATGATAATACAAAAGAAAGAATGGGAATCGAGGGAAGCATAACGGTGCTTTTGTTCTCGAAGCAGAGGAGCAGTGTTCCCATGAGAACAAATATTCCGTATTTGTTACTCATATTATCATTCGCATATCATTGAGAAGACAGAGCAATCGTCCTCACGACAACGCTGGTACCCCGGGTAGCTATTCTTGATGACATCGCTGAAAGACAACTAATATGGTACGGCCATGTACAGCGGATAAACGACGAAAGATTACCAAAGCAGGTCCTAATGGCAACCAATACAATAGGACATAGGAAAAGAGGGCGTCCTAAACTGGAATGGCACCAGTCAGTCCAGAGATCAATAAGTCAAAAGAAACGTGACAGAAGAGGATTTTCAAGATCGAAGGAGGTGGAGAATAGGCGTCGAACAATGTTGGAAAACGTTCCAAACCGACATGATAATAATTAATAAAATAAATCTGATTCCAGCTAGGCTTAATGGTAACATCTAGTCACATTTTCTGTGACAAAGACGTACTTGTCGCGCTATTGACAATATATGTATGTACATTATGTTCCTATTGCTCGATGTAGAATGTGGTTCCAACATGACGGTGCACCTATACATTTTGCCCGTAATGTGCACCTAATGGGTGATGGGTCAGAAGAGGAGAGGACCTATATCAGGTGACCAGCGCCATATATCCCGATATTTACATCGAGTTACATGAAGCCGTAGGTGCATGAAACTCTTGTAGCTACCCAAGAGGAATTGTTTTTGGCGTACATCAAGTTCCGGACATCTAACAGGTGCATAATACAATGATTCGAAGGACAAATTTATATAACGAAGCTGGGAGTCGTTATTTTAAAACTTTATTGTATTTTTTTTCCGTCATCTCTATTAAAAAATAAAATGTTTGCACAATTTGGTGCTTTTATCAAAAAGTGCACAATATGTTGAAATATGCTAGCTAAACTGCCGCACTATAAAGACTTTGTGTAGATATAGCTGACCTAAATCAATTTGTGAAAAGAAAAAAAAAATCCTTTTTCATCCAGGTACTGTCTCAACTAGAAGGTGCTTAATATTTTTCCAAATTTGATGCAAACTCTGGATTTTGGCAAATTTCTCTGTTGGATGATTCATCCATTTTGACAACTTTTATAACACCTCTTACGTATGCCCTCTGGAATTTCATCTGCTCCAGAAGGAATATTTGAAGGTATTCCTGATGTCCTTTGTTATTTTGTAGACATTAATATTTTTGAAAAGAACCAGTTTGAACAAGACCCTAGACTAAATTTTTTTTAACTAAACTAGGAACAGACGGATGGTCTCTAAAAATAGTCTATATAAAACTAAACGCAAGACGCAAGTGTGGAAAAAAGAGCCTATCAAAATTTTGAGACACATTGTATATGAAAATGAATTAATGCCAGACCTACACATCACAGTACAGAATTATTGGAGAATGTAGTTGAAAAATATTCTAAGTCTACGTGTATAATTTATCGTATAAATTCAGTGTAAATATCAACTGAAATCAACAATGAATAATAGATAAAAACTCATCTTCGTATTCGTTTGAAAATAATATTCCCCTGAAAAAACCCGCGTCTTTAAAAAATAAAAAAGAAACGGTATTTTGAAGTTGCTCAAAGTGATTTCAACAAGTTGTAGGTGTGTAAATTATACTCAAAGTCTGGGCTCCCATAACTTTGATCCTAATTGAGAAACAGCCAAAAAAGACTTTTCGCTTTTTACCAATATTATTTCTATAAAAAATCAATGAATTTTTGTTTCAGGTAAATGTATCCCGATTTTTAATCTGCAACCTTGCCTTTGCTGACCTCTGTATGGGACTCTATCTGTTACTTATAGCCTCCATGGATTACCACTCTGTTGGGACTTATTTTAATTCTGCCTTTGCCTGGCAATATGGTAAGGAATTTTCTTAAATAATAAATTATTTAGTCTTGACATTTACAGCTCACTCTGGAGAAAGCAAGCAATAAATGAGACCGCTTGTTGTCTTGAATTTTTAAGAGGCTCTTTAAATTGATTTATTTTTGAACGTTATAGACCATTTTCGATGTTATAAGATATAGCATTCTAGGTGATAAAAATAAAACCCTTACTTTACTAGTTAGGAATTGATGCTTGAGACAATTATTTGCCAATAATCTGTTATTAAGGGTTCTGCTATTGGTACTCAAATAATTAGTGCATGCATTATCGTTTACGAAAGTTCCAGATAACAAAACTTTTAAATACCACGGCCCACAAGGCACAAGCCCAGAATACATTCTAATGTATCTTTAAATAAATGGGTGAAGTTTTAAGTCCATGAAACTTTAAAATTTTATCTGTTGAAAAATAAAAAACTTCGTCAAGTCAAACATTCCTGACCGGAAAATTTTAAGCTCGAAGATTAGAATGTGACATTTTTGCTCGTGTATAAGTTCCAAAACAGACTGGGGGCTTGACGAAATTTATAGGAAAAGTTATCTGGCCAAAAATTTTAAAAACAGAATCACGTGTCAGAGATAAAAGAATGTCACGCGACCACAATATATTGCTTACGTTGTCAGATAATGGAATTTTCTCCGAGCAACCGGGATTTTTGCCCTTGAAGACAATTAATTTGTCTGCCGACTGATGCTAATGTTTTTGAGAAAATTATTTAATTTAAACGTATTAGCTTACAATAAAAAATCTTTCTTTTCAGGTATCGGCTGTCAAATAGCGGGATTCCTGACAGTTTTTTCCGGTCATTTGTCGATTTTCACCCTAACAGTGGTGACTATAGAAAGGTGGTTCGCCATAAAATACGCCATAGATCTCACTAAACGAATAAGACTGCGAACTGCTGTTGAAATTATGATTGGCGGATGGATTTATTCGATTTTGATGGCCGCTTTGCCACTTATTGGTATCAGTAACTATAGAAGTACAAGGTAAGAACTATCACTACTTCATGAAAACATTATATTCTTGGTTAAAGCATTAAAGTTTCTGAGCCCTATTCAATTTTAAGAGATACAAGGTCGATTAAATTATGGCAAAGTTGCGCAATTTAAAAATCGTAGGTGTTTGGATGTTTTGGCATTTCCTAGATATAACTACCAATTTTTCTTCCATAGAACGAACAAATATTACCTTTGGCCTTTGCTTTGGCTCTCTATTATAATATAAAATACTATTTCACACACGAAAGCTAAAATGTAAATAACGAGCATTTTCATATTATGGAGTTCACGACATAAATTTTAAAGCTATGACACACCGTTCCTCATTATTTTTAGCTGCAAGTATGCCCCAAGGAGTTTCCTTACCTTTTAGACAAATTGCACTGCACTATCCGAGACTAATTAACAATTTGAGGTTCTTGGGTTACATCGTCACGTCATTTATCATTTCCCATTATAATTTGTGCCTTTGTATTTAATAGACACATACAGGACTTGTAGTTTGCAATTATTGCAGTCCAATTAGGTTCCTTTGGCGAAGTTTGTCTTATACCGCAGTTAGTTTTCATATTATTGAGAATGTTGGAGGTCGATTTCCTAGTATTGAGCTTAGATTTATTTTCATATTTTGATTCCGGTGGTTAGAGAGATTCTTCATCCTCCACTGAGGTAAATTTCTTCAATAACTGAATCAACAGAATGTGATCGGCAGCCTCCATCAGAGCTTGAATGATAAATGATGAATGATTTCTTGAAATTCTTGGGCAAAAACGAGATAAATACTGATGCTTTTATCGACATCACTTATTTATTTAAGTTAAGCTACTCTTGATTTTAAAAAAATAGGCTCTTTTAGTATGATTATAATTATTACATAAAGAAAATAGTGTTTTCAAAATGTTAAGGGACATAAGAGCTACTAATCTGTCGATAATCTCCTAAAAATACATTCGGATTTCGGATGTATGAAATATTTTTTCAAACGGTATGAATCTATTTACACAGCAATTCAACGAAAGTCGAAGTTCCTTATTTAGGACTTTTCAGAGCTAGCTAAAATCATTTTGGTTTGGCGAAATTTTTGATGTTATTATAAAAAAAATCTGATATTCCATACCTAAGTGGCAGACAAAGAATATTTCTTGAACTTCCTAAACTTTCATCAATATCGAGAGTTTGAATTAATAATGAGACTCCCGAACAACTTCAGATTGTGAGTATTCAATAGAATAGTGTCAAAGATTTATCATCTAAATCTATTTTAATGAGCATGCCAATCTCAGAAATTTTGTTGAACTAGAATTCACTGAATGAACGAATTATGTATGTCTTCCGGAAGTAAATTCAATTTATGATGTTGAATAAAAACTCCAATTAAAACTTAAATTGTATAAATTGCTTAGATATTTATCCAGTCAAGTTAGATCTGGGAAAATCTGATTTTTAACTACCTATATCTACATTTTCCAAGTTTGCCAAAGTTTTTGTCTACCTGTAGCCATAGACTTAAGTTTTTTATGTATTAATTTCTTTATACAGTGTGTCCCAGGGAAAACAGTCCACCCCGATTTATTGGGTTTGGGATGAGAATCTGGGAAAACGCTCGGACACGTCGATGTTTTATTTGAGGGGAAACTATTTTCCAGTTTTTTTCATCCCCGTAGCTTCAACCCCCTAGCTAGGGGGAGAACAACCCCCCAAATTTGAATATAGGGAATAGGGGTCGTATCATACCTCTTTTTAAAGGTCTCATCGAGTTTTTTATGGCCCTAGAATTTCATCTTATTATTTTCATCCGTAACGAAATGACTTGTCAAAATCTTGAAAATGGACTATGTTTTAGTAGGAGTAAAAGCGGTACTTACCTCCCTTAATAAAAATACGAGTGAAAATACCTATAATTTACAATTCTCGTGTATACCTCATTAATAATAATAAGAAAAAACTTCATGTCAAGTATTTTTATTAGGCGAGGTAAGTATCGCTTTTGCTCCCACTAAAACTAATAGTCTATTTCCAAGATTTTGACAAGCTTTCATTTCGTTACGGATGAAAATAATGAGACGAAATTCTAGGAGCATAAAGAACTCGATGAGACCTTTAAAAAGAGATATGACACGACCCCTATTCCCTATTCAAATTTGGGGGGTTGTTCTCCCCCTAGCTAAGGGGTTGAAGCTACGGGGATGAAAAAAACTGAAAAATAGTTCCCCCTCAAATAAAACATCGACGTGTCCGAGCATTTTCCCAGATTCTCATCCCAAACCCAATAAATCGGGGTGGACTGTTTTCCCTGGGACACCCTGTATATTCATTTAATTAGATTCTATTATGGCCGTTTCCACCGACTATTTTAGGGGAGCCTTAACGATAAGTATTCGCTAAAATGAAATTTTTACATGGAGAAATATCAGTTTAAGGAATACCTATCGTTAAGGCTCCCCTATAATAGTTGGTGGAAACGGCCATTATTGGCATAATAGACCGGTGACATAGGCACTGTTTGCATCACAGGTTATGATTCTGCGGTCTTTTACCTTATGCATACCATACTTGGTCTTACTACATTATTAACAATAAGAACTCCTGTTCAGATCTCGTTTGCATCTTCCTCTTTGCCTATTATGGTAATCAAAATTAAATAATATTTTTAATCATAAATTTAAATTCTAAACTAGGAGGACCGCTGGCGCAAACAGCTGACGATTTAGTTAATGGCTTCCGTAATGGTGATACACCAATATGGCCGCGATTACCGAAATCGATGCCGATAAGCAATCCTTAGTAGTGTGTATTATCCTTGTGTTATACCTACTGATTTTGCGCTGTAATCTATCGATTCTCAACGTTAGTTTCTCCCGATTTAGTATTTTGACGTTTGACAACACTGTGCAACACATTTACTGAGCCTCATTTAATTGCATGAGTATCAAAAACTGCCGACTGCTCTTCGCCGAGTCGACCGGTCCGAGTCGATTCAGTGCGCGTCCTGCTTTATACTGTGCCGGATTAGTACAGATATCGATTTCTTTGCTTAATTCGCATTTATTAAGGAAAGAAAATTGTCAATACTAGTCGAGTCAAAAGTAGGGCTGTACCAAAGTCGATATACAAAGCGATTTTGATATACAGAGTGACACAAGGAATAGGGAACAGTCTATAACTTTTTCAATACCTATATAAGTTGAAAATTTGGTTTAACCGGAAGTGACTGGTAACGCAATTTACTTCTAAAAAACTCAAAAAGTTGCCTCGATTAAGCTCCCCAAATTTCAAATTTTCAACTTATATATTAAAAAAATTATAGGTTGTTCCCTATTCCTTGTGTCACCCTGTATATATGTCTACCATTTTGTCCGATGTGTTAAAAAAGAAAAAAAAATGAATCGTTTGGAACATGGAAATTTGACAATCAGTGATTTTTGATTGTGCAAAAATATGGCACAAAATTCAAATAATCTGCTTTTTTTCTTCCAAAGATTTTTAAAAAAATTAACCAACCATACTTTTATGTAGTACCTACATAAAATACACTTTCGTTACAGATAAATTATATACCTAATTTTGATTGAGTGCAAAAGGTCCATTGTTTGGACACATAAACATTTTTAGCAATTTAACAATAATTGTGCAACGTATGTAGTTCATTGAGGTTTCTGCCATATTGAGATTATGCATATTCCCATAACTACTTTTTACTGAAACAAACGGCAGACGGGTTAAAAACGTTCATGATATGAACAATTTTTGTTCCAATTTTGTTCATAAATTATGAGAACTTGTATCAGCCTGCAATTTCTGCCAGTCGAAATTTAGGCTTTCAGTAGTAGCTAATTTAATATAAATTATTGGCAGACGGGAAAAAATTGATCTCAACTTTGAAAAATTTTGACATTTTTATTGTTTCTACCAATTGTTAATATGCCTTGGATACATCTGCCAATATATTTTTTGGATTTTACTTTGCATGTCAAACTTATCTTCCAAATGGCAGATGGGAGAAAATTGTTTCAACATCTCAGCATTTTGATACAACTTCAAAAATTGTTAAATATTATTATACCAACCGAGATTTTCTGCCATTTACTTATTGATGTATTACATCGTAAATGTAACATAAATTTAATTTGGCAGACGGGAGGTCGTTGATCCACATGTCCGATTTTGGTGACATTTTGAATTTAGTAATATGACACTTTATACTAACCCAGGGTTTCCGCCATTTAGCATCCTTCTACTAATTTTTGTTAAAATGACCTTCACAATGTGTGGCAGACGGGATAATATTGATCCACATCTCCACTTTTCATTACATTTTCAAATTAGCATATCATTGTATTGTCACACGCGGGGCTCTTTGAAATTTCAGCCATTCCACTTCTTACTGCATAGAGAATAACCACCCTTAAAGGCAGACGGGAGAAAATCGTTTTGAAAAAATGGTCGTTATGCACCGGTCTATAAGCTGATACTTAACTTTGAATAGTTTTTTTTAATATTGGGAAACTTTAGATCCATCTTAAAATCTTTCCTATAAACTTTATACCTGCATTCAAGGAGTCAGGATTACGCGAGACGCGAATGATAATATGTTTCTTACATTGGCAAGGTAAATTTAATCTTATTTTCAACATAGGATTTTACCTCTTACGATAATTCTTTACAATATCACAAGACGTCAGAAAAATTAACTTTATTAAACTTAGTGCCGGTTTATTCACCTTTTGATAAACTGTCAGGTAGGTATGCAATCTGTCAGATAAAACATTAATCTGTAATCAATGTTTGGTTGGCCATTCGTGTTCTTCAAATGTAATTAGTAGTTGGGATCGTCGGTTAATAGGACAGAAAATAAAATAAAAAATATTTTCTGTCCTATTAACCGACGATCCCAACTACTAATTAATCTGTAATCTCATTGGCCGACCAGTTAGCGCAAGTTTATCTGAAGACGAATAAATCAGACCTTAGTGTTTGAAAAATTGGGA